AGGGGCGAACTAAAGTGGCACTTAACACATGGGGTGAGTTTCAGACGGTTATTTCTGATTGTGTTTCAGTGAAATGCAATTTTCACCCGTATTAAATTGCAATGGGTGATTCACCCTCCATTTCGCATGCAAGTGCCAGTGGCCGGCCAGTAGTTACTCATCACTCTGCTTTAAAAGTCTATCTAATCTGCTATTTGTAACTGAATTATCATTATTTCCCAATTTTTAAGTGCGGATTTCCTGATAGTCGGATGCAATAGTCATGCCAATGTTGTTAATCATGTAGGTTTTGGAAGTTTTCCGGACTTTGTTGCAAAATACCTGCAAAAATTCGATTTGAGATTAGCACCTTTAATCGGGAAAACTGTCAGTATTCGTAAAGTAAAATAGAGTGTCAGATGAAAGAATTCGTGTTTTCAAATGCATACGGAACTTTGCGACCGGGATTCTTCAATTGAAGTGATTTTTCATGGAGGCCAGGACGATTTTGAATCGAGTAAGGAAAAATTACTTGTAAGTTGTTCAAATAATAAATAAAAGTCTAATTTAATTTGAATGGGGAGTTTTTAAGGTTCATTCAAAACAATGGCTGATTAACCGCTGATGAAAACATCTAATTTACAAATATGCCAACGTACTCCTAAATAATAAATTTTACCACACCTAAAAAAAACTTTGAATTTAGTGAAAAATTTAATATACACCGGACAACTAACTTTTGCAGTGCAACTGTCGTTTGTCGAAATTATTTTTAATTCTGCCTTTTTTCACAGAAAGGCGTAAAATAATTGATAAATAATTCTTTTAATTTTTTTGTTTACTATTCATATATGTAGGTACTCAATTTAATTCACAATTTGCATGAAGATCAAGAGTTTGTCCGTTACATTCAAAAATAGGAAATGTTTTCCACTTGTTTCTTGAAGTAGAACGATGTAGTTTCGTCGAGATATATCGAAGTTTTCAGAACCAAAATGTACTTAAAACTCACTCTAAAAATGTTGAATTTTTAACGTGTAATTTTTATTGGCAAAATCATATAAAAAGTATTAAGTTTATTTGACAAGAGGCGCAAAAAATGGGCGTAATACTGTAGGTATACGTTTCAGGAGTGTGATTTTCAGGCTAAACCGTTGAAACCTAATGGGCTGGGATTAGCATATTTCGAAATTTGTTCCTACTGAAATCAACTGCGAAGTTCATAATTTATTTTCCCAAAAACATTATTAAAAAATTGTTATTCTCCAACTGCTTTCTATTGTAATTTTGAATACGATTCCTAAACTAAATTGACTTCCAGTTATGTAAATACATATAGTAAAGTGATTCTAACTATCCAGATACGAGTTATGGATACATTTTTAGTTTGCATTTTTTTAGTTAATTCTATACGCTAGTCGTGTAACCATTGGTGAAATTTTTCCAGGTACTCACGAAAATAATGACAACATAATGTACCTATAAATAAAAATTGCTTGATTGCTCAAATTGATTGAGTCACTATTTCATTAAATTTAATTCTGTTTAAGTTTGGAGGAAACGATTTTTGGAATTAATAAAAATGTTTCACGTGCCATGTTAGTTAACTCCAAACACATTTTTAAGGTAATAAATTTCAACTTTGGCTTATATTCCGGAAAGCTTAAGCTTAATTAAATGAAAATATTATAGATAAGTTCTATATTGTTGAGGAGGATTTATTTTTTTACAAACTGCTTGGTGGGTATTTCGCCTCAAAAGTTTTTGTCTTTAAAAAAGACAGAATTTCCTCACGTTTTTCATTATAGATCAACCTAATAAAAGACGTTATAAAAGACGTGAGGAAAGCAGTTTGCAAAAAATTATTATTAATTAAAAAATTATAGTTAAATTTTATTTATATTCGCTAATCTAGACGATAATCTATGAAAGTCCACAATGTGGAGTTAATTAATACAAAAAAAAATTAAATCTATTGGTTTCCATTTCGGTGCCATCGGCTCACGTAATACTATCGAATTTCAGAAATTGCAAGAAGCAAAGTTTTCATCAAATGTCCGTTTCTCGCTTTGTTCAATTTACTTTATTGCTCTTAAATTTATGGTAAACTTGTTATTTTGAGATACACATTTACGCGTTAAAAGCAATAAATTTAATTGTTATAGTTTAGTAATGAAAGTTTTATAGCTGAGTTTCCACGCCCAGTACTTTTCAAAATTGGCCGGTTGCGACCCGTAGTGAAACATTCGGTATATAAAAAGTATATTTCTACCCTCTATTCCGTTTATGCTTTCTCCGTTTTTTGTCATTCTTTTGAAGTATTTTTTTATTCAGAAGCTTTGATCTTTATGTAATTGCCTTTTTATGGCACCCTATCATCTTCTGTTGGTCCTTTTTTGCATCAATTTTTGGTAAATTTTTTACATCAATGTCCAACGCAATTCTGGTTTCTGTCCCATGATTATCCACTTGGAATCTTTAACTCTCATTAATAAACTTCTCTTTCAATTTCAAGTTTTTCCTGAATAGGTACCCAAATTTTAATGTGCTGTTTTTTTATTTATTCTACACTATCTATATATATACTTTCGTTTGAAAAATTTTCACTATTTGTTTCCCACTAACTTAAATTTACCATCTACCTAGTACTATAGAATAAATCATACATTTTATGCAGATTTTTAAGTTGTCAATTTTCGTCTGACTATCTAATGTTTTTCTTTCAGGACAACAAGGCGATGGTTGCTCCGATGCCCTCTGGGGGCACTGCACCTCAACCAGGCGTGCGCATTAACATCCCCGATCTCGAGAAGAACAATCCATCGTCGCCAGCACCATCTAGACTAAAGTTTCGAAAACGCGTACGCTTACCACACGCGCTCAATGTTTTATTGAGTTTTCTAGGTAAGCAGATAAACGAAATCAATAATAAAACGTCTTATCAGAACACAGCTTTACGTTGTTGTCAATATCGAAGATTAATATGGCCGAATGAATGGTTTGGGAATATCTTCACATATATACAGGGTGTCTCAACTGTTTGAGGATATTGTCCCACTTTTATAGTTTTAGTTAATGATTTTCAAGAAACTATCAAGTTTGCATATCCATGAAAAAATCTTGCTATCTACACTATTTTAAATATATAAAGTGTCTCTAATTATACCGGGTGTTTCAGTTACTTGTTTGCGCGCTTCATTGCGCAGGAAAGCGCTTTCCAGTGGCCCAATGTTCCAATTTCGTAACCTTAAGAAGTGTGCATGGATAAGCTCCGTTAATAGTAATCGAATTACACTTTTTACTACCAGCTTTTGCAATAACATAGAAGTTACGTGTTATTAGAAGAACTTTCTCCAAGCCCGACTGACTCACTATATTAACAGAGAATCTAAGGAAATTCACACAGTAAAGTCGGCAACGTCTAGGTGGAATATTCAGTATGATTTCGGTTTCCTGGTTGACTTGACTAGCCGCTTCGTCCTCATTTCGTATCGGACAGTGTTAGTTGTTTTTTCGCTTCATCATTTCATTCACAGTATTCCAGTAGTCTCAGGATGTAATTTGCCCGTTATTAACATCAACATACTGATTTTGAAGCGTAATCGTGACGATCAAACCAAACACTCCACGTAAGACGTGATTATAATGTTTGCACTTCGAAATGGATTACTTTTACGCAGCATTATTTAGTTTTCTATTTGAGAAAACAGTTTTAGACAAATTTATCTTTTGCTAAATTTTCAAATAGGTAGATAAGATATGATACAATGGCGGTGCTTGTGTCATTTTGAGTCCCTTCGCATGTTAGTTTTTTTATTTTTTTTCTTAAAACCCACTTTAAATTAAGCCAAAGAACACTCACACAGTTAGAAAAATTACCATTTTCAGGCTAAATTTCGAGCGATGTTGCCAAACTGTGCAGAAGGTTTTAAGTTAGGGAAAATTGTTTCCTTAGATACCTAGGTGCATTTTTGAAAGTAAAATAATTGGAAATGAAAAATGAGGAGAAATTGCAAACATTCTTATTTTTAAAGCTTATACATATTTGGTTGCATTCGAGATCACAAGAATGAAAGTTGATATTGCGTATACCGGGTAACTTTATGTAAAAAATCGGACTTGGACTTTGCTTTGGGTTCTAGCATGTGAAAATATTGGTTAAATGTATACCTAATAATTAATGCAATATATTTAATAAAAAAAACATTACATTGATAATATACCTGGGATATTCATATAATTGGTTGCAAAAAAAACCTTTCAAAAAAGCAAGAATTAAGTTCTAAAATTTTCTCCTAAACTTTGCAAATACACCGCCCTTGTGGATACAATCGCATGGGCTTGAAAAGTTTTGCCCCTTATGAAAACTTTTATATTCAAATAATAATCTTGAATCGGGCCACAAATTTAGTTATCCAGTTTGGAACGTGACTGGAATCATTAGTCCTTTTAACGTGGATTGATATTTTGATGGAGTGTGGCTTATCTTTGAAAACACTTAACGTATTTAGTGTGCAAGTGATTGACTAATTCAAATAATATTGTTTAAATATTTCACAAAGGATCAAATTTCAAAAAGGTTTCTGTTCAACATGAGCATTCACATTCTGTAAAAGGTATTGGAGTATTATTTTGAAAAAATGTACTTATCAGTAAGCATTAGAATACATATTTATCTAGTTCAACACATTTCACACATCTAGTTTACCTACACTTATGTTTAAGCTATATTTACGTCTGTAACCTATCCATTAGAACTGCTTTAATAGATATCTAATCAACAAACTGATTAAAAAAAATTATCGATATGTACTTAAAACAGCCAATCAAGTTCTCTGATAATGGAAAAATTACCACTTGTTAACCTGCTTTAACAAACTGACTAAACATTTAACAAATAGTTGTAGTTACTCTATGTGTATGATCGTTCCAAAAATGTTTTTTGCAGGGTGTTAACTCGGAAAAGTGAAGTTTAGTATGAAACTCTACAGATTTCCCAGCTGTAAGTTTTATGGGGTGTAATTTTGCTTTGTTGAACTATTTTTGCTATAGAATTGGATTAGAATTGTGATGTTTTTCTGTCGTCCTAAGTCAAAATTGAGATCAATGATATACCTACATTTTCTTAAAAAGGAACTAGAAAGTGATAGGGAAACTAACTTTAACTGAACTGAAATATTGTCCAAAGAAACTGTTTGATTTGGGACAGTAGATTGTTTTACTCCTTCATATATATGTATGCTGAAGTATAAAATAAAAATATTCTTTTCAGTTTTATCCATAATAATCCTGTTGGAACTGGGATTCATTCCGGCAACAAATACTGGCTTTTACTGCAAGGATTCGTCGTTATCCTTCAAATTTACCGGAGACACCATCAGTGCAACCACTTTGCTGGTCAGCAACCTCTTGGTAGTTCCATTGCTGGTATTGTTCCTTAGCGAATATTTAAGGAACAGATCAGCGTCAAATATATGTTTAAGGGAAGTGTGGTATTATTACAAGGAATTTCTCATAGGGTAAGTAACTAGTTATAATATATTTAAAATCACAATATAAAAGTTTKTCAGACGCATAACATGAAGAAGGTTGAAAWMGATTTGTCGAAATCAGATAGAATTTTGGCGCAGGTTAAAGCATCTTCAATTGAAAGAACATTGGAAATAGTAAAAACAATAATGTTGAGAACAATAAAATGTGTATTAATATTAATTAGAAAAGAAGAAATATTTTTATTAGCTCGAACTAGAGAGTGTAAGATGCCCTGATAAAAAATACTACGAAAAATTTCTGTACACATATATCAAAAAGTATTTGAAACCTAGTAGACGGGGATTGTTTGTTCCAAAAAAAATACAATTTTCTGGCGTTTCCACACATTTTTTCATTAATTTGGACTTATTATGGTTACGAAGACTCACAAAATTGAAACCTATTCTTATGGTTTACAAATAACCAATTGAAAATAGCTAATAAATCTTAAGATTACATTTTGACTACATTTGATGGTGGAACAAAAAATATTTTGATTTTATTCATTCCTACGTGTTTAAAAAATGCTTAGGTTTTTTTAATTTTTGGGAGTTGTTCTAAAATGCTGGAAAAATGCAGTATCAAATTGTATCTAGTATACTTAGCATCTCCAGTAAAACCACATATATTTACATTTTCTTTATTTAAATTTTCTTAGAAACATAATTTATCCAATTTCTTTGGAAATTCGTGATTTTTAATTTTACGTTTTGCTTGTTTTTAGATGTGGTTTAGCGTTGGTTCTCACTGAAGTGGCAAAGGCCATAGTGGGTGAGCACAGGCCACACTTTTTTGATGTTTGCCGACCAAATTCGGCTGAAAATTGCACTGAAGGCCAATATGTGAGCACATATCAGTGCACTGTGACCAACTATAGTCACTATTTCATGGCAGATACATCAAGAAGTTTTCCAAGTGGACATTCATCGTTGAGTGTTTTTGTTGCAGTATTTTGTTCCGTAAGTAAAAAGTTGCTGAATTTTCGTATAATTGTCATTGAAGTTGTCAATTATCGCTTTTAATGGGAAAAAATCAATTTAATTTCATAGGATTTAAGTTTTAAAATGTGTTTACGATGTTTCGACAGTAAAGTTTACAATTTCRGAACGCGAAAACTGAAAGAATAATAGCTTTTTTACTCTCTTAACAAAATTATTTATTTTGTTGAAAGGTTTTTGATATTTTCGTTCATAATAACTATTAATTGGAAAACATTTTTCTTCAGTGGCACAATCAAAGGATTTCGGCTTTAGCAAGCTATCTTGAGGGTTTTCACAAGAAAAAAATTTAAATGACATAATTAGTAAGTACAAATTTACCTATCGACCAGGTTCAAAAGGTACAAGATTATTTGAAGTAATCAGACACTTTGCCAAAGAGCCCTAGGCGTAAATTATGTTTTATTATCTTCTATTTTCTGAGGAATTTGAATGAATACAATTGAAGTTATTTATTAAGTTATTTTTTAGCAAAGTTTTGAATCTGTTGCAAGTGTTTGTTCTTTTAATTATTTCCCGCTCTCTCTTTTTTAATCTCCTCATGTCCTTACATTGCCTGTCACTTAATCCAATTAATTTTTTTTTGCATTTTGGCGTTAAAAGATTTTTATTTTCGATAAGAATTAGAATATATCAACCATTTGAATTCAGTGAATTATTTAGATTTCTCGGCACATTTGAATTTAAAAAGTTATTTTTCATTTGTCTTTTAAAAATTAGTTATTATTTAAATATTCTGGAATTGGAACCGAACGTTACTCAATTGCGAAATAAGAAAAATATAAATAGCACTAATAGTTTTTTGTTGGAATAAAATTTCAGCTATTTTTTAAGCCGGTTATTCAAAAATCTGAAACTGTTTTTATTTGTTTTATTCTTTTGTTTTATTCAGTTGAAAGTTAAAAACAAATTAGTTGTTGCATTGAATTATTAAATAAATAATTGTATTTTGATTAGGATTCTTAAACGCGTTTATAATGATGAAATCTGAAGTCGAAAGTGAAAAGTCGAAACATTTTCCAATCTTGCTGTTGAAGGCAGATATTAATTATTAAGTTATTGTTATTCTAACTGCAAAGTGTGCAACCCTGCAGCAAATTAGTTGATTATTTTGCAATTTTTTCTGCGAAAAGTGATGAACCTTTCAATTTGATGAGAATATCACTTTTACTTCGCGTGTCCCATTCGAGCGGTCTTAACGTGGGGCCAAAAACAACGACGATTATCGCTTCAAAACAAAAACTAATCAAAATATTGCAATTAATAAATAAATTTATGTATAATGTAGATGGAATACAACTTGTAATGTTTGTTTGCAGTATTTGATTCAAGTGCGACTCGTCACTGTCCTAACTGGAGTAATTTTCAAGTACTTCTTCATCTCATGCCTGATGACATGGTCCCTGGTATGTTCCCTTACCCGAATCACCGATAAAAGACACCATTGGTGGGACGTGGCAGTGGGAATGTTGCTTGGAGTTTTAGTCGCCTTCTATTCCATCAGTATTATTCGCAAACAACTACATAGAAACAGTATTCCAAGAGTGGCAACATCTACGACAACGCTTATTGATGTTAAAAATAAAGACGCTAAAAGCGAAATTATTTAATTCCGGTTTACACGAGCTATTTAACTCATGCACCTAAGTTTAAGTGCAAGCAAAGCACATTGCATTGTAAAACGTAGGTACTGACGACTCACGGCTTGACTCACTAAAGCGCATCTGACTGCCGAAGAATTAGAGTGGCCTTAAGTAATTTTCATAATTATTCTATTTTGTACATATTCTTAACTGATAGGACGTATGTGAACGATTGTTTTTACGAAAATAACATACTTTCACACAAAAGTTTTTTGTGTTGAAATGTATTATTTATTGATTGCTTTTCTTCTGTACATAGTATTATTGTTGTGATCTGAATAAAGAATACTTTTATATTTTGTTTCAATATTTTCCTTATAACATTAAAGAGCATCCAAGTGTCGCAAAGGTAGTGGTTTGAGTGAGTTTCAGTAGGTATATTAATCTCAACGGTAAATGAAAAAAATATATTAAAAACTGAACTAATATTTACTGGTATTTCATGAAGTGGCCTTCTTCTTAAAATCACCATTTTTTTTCACCATTTTCTTGAATGTTCCATAGTTTCGTTCTTGTTTCTCTATTTCACCTAAAATGATTGATTAATATTTCCAGCTCCGTGTTATTGACTATTATCAACTTAGCACATAAAAATCAATCAATCAGTGAGAATTGAAAATTGTATTCCACATTATCGGACCTTAAAGCCGCAAAGTTCGTATTTTCCGAAAATTCCAGTTTTAAAAAAATATAAATTAAATACAAATTTTACCGACGTTTCTCGCTTAACCTTTGGCTGAATTGCAAATTGTCCAATGTTTGAACAGGGCTGATTTAAAAAAACCACATTTATCTAATTTATTATATAGTTTTTAGTTCTCTAATTCATTGCATAAAATTTGTGATAATTCGGCAAAAGCGCCCTAATAATAGTACTTATCCATCCCTAAGAAACCTACTCACATTATAATGCAAAAACTATTATTCAATGTAAAGATGTGCTAGCATGTAGACAAATTTCAACCGATTCTGAACAGTAACTAGAATAACATTAAATATGAATATATTTAAAAACACCGACCTGTATGAATCAGCACTAAAACTCGTGTAATTATTGCTTTACTTTAAATTTACTCAACATTTAAGATTGTGTTTAATCACTTAAATCTTATCATCTTATTATTATCTTGTTTAGATAACAATTATGAGTAAGGAAATGTGGTGGAAATCTACGATATGTTAGTTAAAATCGGTTGAATCAGAAGTAATAATCATATAATTGTGGTACGGTTACATGTAAATATAATATAATTTAGGCCGCACAATTATTTAATTTATTATTAGCTGTGAAGTGGTTGATGACCTATATTTGAAACTTTGAAGGTAAGTGTGATAACATGTACCAGACAAAGCTTCTTTCGAAATAAATCAATTTAAAAAGTAGTATGTGAAAATGATTATTAAAATCTCGAAAAACTATTTAAAAAATACTTTACACTAATACTTAAAATCTTGTGCAGTAAATGTATTTCATACATTAGGTCATTCATATTTTGAACTTAAAAAGCAATAGTTTAATTAACATAGATTAACAACATTTCATAGTCTGATAGTTTAATTAAAATTTGTTTAAATGACGATTGTAAACATCATTTTATCAAAAATGCGCGTTTTTTTCAAATACTCAAGCAAGATATTTGCATGAATGCCACATCTTTCTGATCTTCAACTTTAATTTAATTTGCAGGAAAAAATCTGATAATAATGCTATAATATAATAAATTACACATCCTATTCCGAATTTAAGTCACAATAATCACAATGGCTACCCGATTCGCCAAAGGCGAAGATCCAACGGAGATTTTACAATTTAACTTCTTGGATTCGGAAGGACGTATCACCAAGGAATCCATTAAATCGGCTTTAAAACCCCCATATCCTGCAAAGTATTATATAAATGTTCTTTTGATGGTTATAGGTAAGTCTTAAATGTAAATTTATCTGGGCTAATGTTAAATTTGCTACTAACCCGATATGTATGTTTGTACATTTAATTAATCTGCATCTTGAAACTGAACTGCGAAAATTATCAGTTCGAAGACTCAGTTTAGTTAAGTCATTACTCAATTCTGCTGATTTAATATCTCCGAACTTGAATAATAAGATGATTCAGCATTTAAACTCCTAAGGAAACGAAAATTAATTTTCCATAGAATGGATCTATGACGGTTTGCACTCAATTTAATATTTTGCAATTTTTTAATTTAGAAGATAACTCGTATCAGTTTTGTTTCGTCGTGTTGTTGTAAGCGCCAGAATAATATAAATTAATTAATAATTAATAAACACTCTGTACTAGTGGGTTGGCTTTCTTCTCTCTTGGTCTCATTTATACAAGGTGTTACGCTTTAATTTATTAATAATTGTTGTGTTTAATGCTAAATAATTGTGCCCCTGTATTCGCTCCACTTGAGGCAATAAAACAAAATAATAATTTTCTCCCGTTATTTTGTATGTGTTGTCAATATGAAAAATTTGGTGTGTGCGTTTCAAGCAGTAATATATTTCTAATTAAGCCACTGGAATAGAAGAAGCTTTATTTCTTATGTCAAAAGTTACAAAAATCTGCAGTGTGAAACTTAGAAAAAACCGTGAATCATGAAATGAAAAAACAAAAAAACTATGAGAATATAGAAAAAATAATATTTTTAATTTGAGAGTTATTTTTCGAATATAATGTTTATTACAGGTAATTTTTTCACAAATACATTTTACAACTGTAACTGGAAACTTGGTAAATTTCTGAAAATTAATCTTAAAAAAATATCGGTGAATGTCACTTTCCTGGTCTGTTAGGAAGAATAATCCAATTAAATGTCGGATGAAAACGCCACATCAAATATTTAAGAAATATTTGTTTATAGTGCGACCTGAACTGTCTTACCAAACGCGGATTATCTTGTGCTCAAACATGTGCCTCCCTGGAGTTACACACAATTTATCAGAAAAATTTATGTTCCTAAGACTTCTTCAGGTTTGATGATTCGATCGACTAAAATTTAACCGTGAAATGTAGTATTCTGGCGACGATTCTTTCTATATATGGAAAGGTACACATTTGCTCAGCTCGACCCTGCATTTTCAGTTGGCTCAATTTATAAATTGGAATAGCAAATTGTAGTCCCATTAAATGTTTTTATATTTCCTCGAGCGAAAAATATGGCCTAAGTAAAACACCCTGTATAAATGAAGTAAATGTTACTGACCAAGTAAAGATGAATGGCTTTCCTGCTGCGAAGTGACCAACAAGACAAATATAATTACCAATGCATCACCCTGTATATAAAACATTACTTGATAAACCCTGATTTTTTGGTAAGTTTTTACAGAACCTGAGGTATTTTCGTCACACTCTTATCTTTGTCCTAGAAAAGCCCGTTTGTTAGTTTACGATTGCAGAATTCATTTATCTTTTTCTAAATCATCTTGAATGTTTTTTTTACAAACTTCTTTTTGAGTATTTCGCCTCAAAAATTTTTGTCTTTAAAAAAGACAGAATTTACTCACGTCTTTTATTACAGATTGATAAATAGTGCTCCTATTTCGCAATAAGAACGAATTATTTATCAAAAAGTAATCAAGAACT